CCCAAATCAAGTTTCAGGGTCAGACTCAAGCGGCTCAACGTTCACTTACTCGTATGGAATTTGCGTGGCCAATGTAACTCCAGCGGCAGCAAGGGCTGTGAGCCAGCCGTGTTTGAACCCCCGATTTTCGAATTTGGGGACTTCTTCTACATAGTCCTTAAAGGCGGAGCTCTTCCCAGCCTCGAACGCCGCTGAAGACTCAGAGTCAGCTTTCTCCTTAGCCTGTTTCAACTCTCCAAACTCGGCCTCCAACTTGGCAAGCACCTCCTTGGCTAACTTGAGCGATTCCTCGCTTGCGTTTGCCCTCTCCTCGGCGTCAGACTTGAGTTGATCAGCAATTTTGGCCCTTTCCTTCTCAACCTCTGCCCGCGCGCTTTCCATCGCGGCTCTCATTGCCTCGAACTCCGCCTTGCTCCTTTGACCCTCGACTTCAGATTGGAAAACAAAGGATCGTCATGTGCCAAGAAACATCAAATGCAAATCAAACCAAAGAGTTAGTCACATACCAGAAAAGTCGACTGGGCGGCTAATGCTATTGTCGCCAAATCCGGCTCGGCACGAAAGGTCGCATTGTCAACCAGCAAAGAGACCGAGGCAGCCAGGCTTAGTGCCACAGCTGCATCTTTCAAAGCCGACGCTTCGGAGGAGATCGGCATATTTTTTATCTTTTGCTCAATAACGAAAAGAGCAACCATAGCCGAATCCTCCAAGCATGGCCGTTTTTCAAAGGGGCCCTCTTCGGAGCCGTCCTCACCCTCAACACCTCGTTTTTCGCCCGATCCTCTAAAATCAGTCGAGCCTCCGTAATCGGGTGCTTGACCTCCTTTTCCGTCTCGGCCACGACAACGTGAGCCGTTTCTTGTACAACAACAGGAGCAACAGATTCAGTCGGGACAAGTCCGGAACGGATGGCTACGGCCTTTTGTCGGGCGGCTATGCGTTCGGTATTCCTTTTTCGTGCCATCTGCGTAAGATTATCCCTGGCCATATCCTCACAGAAATCGCCGGGAAGGTCTCCTAAGTTCGTAAAGATATCTTCGGCATCCCCTTGGCCTGATGTAGACAGAGGGTCAAAAGAGTTCAACCCGGCTTCCTCAAAGGCCGAATTGATGGCTTTGTTAACTTTTGCCGCCAACTTTTTCGGGTCCTCGACGATCGGTTCGGCCACTTGTCCTTCCACGTGCTCAGAATCAGACGATTCGAGGCCAATCTACCTCAAGTTTTTGAAGCTGGGGAAGATGAGGGCCGTCAGTTGGTTATCGCCTCACGCGATGGAAATATTATCTGCCGCCGAGAACGTCTTGTAGGTTGGCTCGTACCGCAGGAGAACGTGGGCTGCCCTCCCTTGTTTTTGAAGGTCTGGACGGCCGATGAACTGTAGCGCGGTTTTAATTTCTGCGAGCACAACTTCGTCATCTGAAGTCAACACTCTCTTCAAGTCGCTGCTTGAGTAGACAAAACGATTAGGTGAGCTAAAGTGCCGAATACATGCATATGTAAATAACAGAAACAGTGATTTGGTCGGCCACCTAGTTCGCCTTTTTACCTTGGCACAAGATCTAGGCGATCTTTCTTTTCGTCGAATTCCCAATTACCTTGGACAACGACCATCACGTCATCGACACGCTTGCCAGAGCTAGCAAGCATGGTCACTAAGTGGTGGTCAGTATCCTTGGCTCTAAGGAAGTAGCATCCCAGACGGCCAGTAGACTTGGCTAGGACATAACAGTGCCGAATGGCGGGAATAGCTAAATTAACTCTAAGACGCCGATTTATCTCTATAATGCCCATTATGATGCAGAAGAAGTTCACATTGGGCTGGGAAGGAATGAGACCCCAGTACCGAAGAACGGTTCTCAAAAGTGGGTGAAGAGGAAAACGGACGCCGCCCTCAGCAATTGATAAGAGAGGAAAGATGATTGTGTTCTCGTTTTTCCTCACCATATCAGTAGTGCTGTCTGCCAAAAGTGACAGATAGACGTCGTCAGGGATGGAGAAGTGGCGTCGAAAGCCGGAGATTCGATCCGCAAAAAAGAGCTCCTTCAAATGTTTCGCCATTCTTGCCGACTCAAGGATTACGGAAAACTAAAAGCAGATAAAGAGAGGGGATCAAGAAATGTAGGAGAAGAAAACTTACAAGAGGCGAAGGAAAGATCGAGAAATAAGGTGTTGCAGAAGTCGCGGAATGCCGGAGTCCCATTGGAAGGCGAGCCAGATATCTTCGAGTATTTAGAGCATACATTCGAAGAGACAAATTTAAATCGCATAAAATGGAGGCATCATACGAAGGGACAGGAAAGCGCTATAATGACCAAGAAGCATGTACGCGTTCTGACACGCATCGGGAAGAGGAATAACCACCGGATTTCTAACCTCCAGACTAGAAGCCAAACACGCCGACTAACTGGTGCTAGTGGGGTGTTTGGGGGGCAATTGTGGGAGCCGAATAATTTTGGATCAACAGGAGCGGACCAGTCCAGTCCAGAACATAAATTCTATTCGGCATTGACCCTATCCAATTGAGGGGCCGAATAAAAGAGCCGACATTCTTGCCAGTAAAACAAGGGCCGTGCAGAAGTACATGGCAAGGACTAGGAGTGGGCCAGGCCCCAAGGCCCCAAGAGAATACTATAAATACAAGATTTTAAGTCCTAAATAGCTATGTGAGAATTAATGTGTTTAACCTAGAATACAGTTCAATTTGAGTGTAAAGACTAGCTTGCCTGTCGGAGTGCTAATTCCGGCACCCCCGACCGGAGTGTTCATTTCTTTTCAGGTGACTAGAAGAGGATCATCAACGTCCCCCAAGATCAGAGGAGTATTTCTAAACCACTTCTCCATAAGTAAATATTTAAATCTCACTGCTGCTTAATGTTTAATCAAGTCATAAGTACATATTTAAGTTTGTGCGGTTTCAATTATTCTAGTTTATTTACTAAAAGAATATTTGACTAAAGGAAATTCTTACTATTGAAATAATATTAAAATAATAGAAAATTTACTTCTACTTATCTTACCTCATTAATTAGACTTGTTGCTCATTTATAAATTGAATCCTACAAAGCATTATTCATAACTATCAGAGTTACCTAAGACCTATTTTTCCACCACATGTTATCTGGGGCTTATTTTCTGTTATGTTAAAGTTTATCAAGTAAGTTCTTAGTGTCATACATTGTTATCCCATGTCCTTATTAGTGTTCTCCTCAAACAAACGTCATTTTATACAATTAGCATTGCCCTTACTTCTATTAATTCTGTAAATTGTGCATTATGACTGAAAAAGTAAGAAATGGAAAACCACCAGTTCATCTTATAAGTTAAAAGCCCCTGTTCTGCACAAGATCTTATAATCTGTCTCCCTAAAAATTCACAAGAAAAAATAGAAGAAAGAAAGAGAGAAATAATAAGATACCTGACCAAGAATAACAGCTGTGTTAGTGCTCTTTAAGTCTGGAGCCAAATATTGGCAGTCAGGGTGCCCATTATACCACCAAACAAATTCTCTAGCCGAGTGTATCCCTGCCAAATCCTAGAAAGAAAACCAAGAAGAAAGACATAAACAACAGAGACTACAACTGCCTTCAAAGCATTTGACTATCACCAGTTTAAAGATAATAGGCCACAAAGTCTTCCATCAACACAGTTATGCATATCGATTGTATAGATGACTAAACAAAAATAGAAACAAAACCAAAAATTCTATACATAGTTCTCTAGGGATACCACGAACTCTATCACTTTCAGCACCATAGGCAAGCACAACGTGGTCAGCAAAACACATATTCATCAAATAACAAAACTACTTGTGATCAATTAATACAAATCAGCACAAGATCTCATCTAGAGCTGGCATCTTACCACATGATACATCTCCTTGAGCTCAGACAATGATACAGAAGACCCAAGTGACACATTTCCAAAGAATGAGCATCGTTCATTTTGAGTAACCCGAGAAAACTGGTTGGTCACAATCTGTTGCAAGTTTTCTGGTAAACTAAGCTCAATTAAGAGGACTATTTCAACAATGTATTCTTTAAAAACAGAAAGTCAGAAACACACAATGTAATTCATTAATATACAGATACTATTGTCAGATTTCTACAAATATAGAAGCTTTAAAAAAGGCCAGATGCTAATCAGAATAAAACATGTAGACAAAATTTATGCCGTCAATGATATTAAAAATGGCCAGATATATACTATAACACTTGCTTAATTTAAATGGTTTTTATTTTATTAGTTTTTGGGATCTCTAAAGATTAAGATAAACCATATTTAGTTGCACTATGTAATAGGAGGCTTAGAACATAGTGCTTGGAATTGATACACCTAACTAGAGACGGTGAGATATATGAAACATAAACAGGAATAGAATAAGATTCTAAATCAAGCACATGACAACATAAAGATATACGCTGTTCACTCTAGAATGTGGTGGCTTCTAAAAAGAGTTACAATCATGATCTTAGATAACGGTATCAGGATATGTACTAGTATCGGCAATACCATAGGATATCAGATAGTAGCATCAAACATATCGATAAATAACGGTATCAAAGTCCAAAATCTCAATACATAATGGGTGATACAATACATAACCGATATTTAAAATGCTGGCTACAATACAATATAAAGAGATGTTGCACTTCAACTATAACTAAGTAGTATTAGGGGAAAAAATAGACCAGACAACATTTTGGTTTCTTTTCATACCAATGCATATGAGATTAAACAGGAATTCCCTCACTCCAATTATGAAGAAACAATTAATCAGTAGACATAAATGTCACGACCCGAACCCGCCCCTATAGGCTAAGGCCATAATCGGCCAGTAATCACGAGATTACCTACGGCCTTAAACCAAATAAACCAAAACTCATCAGAGTAAAAATGGCCAAACGAAAGCAATTTAAAACTTTGTCCATAGAGCTGTGCTTATATGTACACCATAACATTTTAAACATTTATATGTTAACAACTCACATCAGAATGTGTACTAATACAAAACACTGTACATATAGGATCATCCAGATTTAAGTCAGTCAAACCCAAGACTTATATACAACAATGGTCCGATGATTTCGCCAACAAAACAAAACTATAAACAGAAGACAAAAGGGCGAAGACAGTCTCATGCGTGAGACTTTTGGGCTAACTCTTCAGAACTCTGACTGTTTCTCATAATTCACCGGGGCTAGTTTTGGACGTCCCTTGGCTCACCTACATGTACATGGATGAGCGTGAGCGAATGCCCAGTGAATAATATCAATAAAAAGATACATAAGCAATTATTGAAACAATTACAGCAAACGGCCTTTGGCCCAATCATTTATGTCAATCGGCCTTCGGCCTAATCATTCATGTCAATCAGCCTTCGGCCCAATCATTCATGTCAATCGGCCTTCGGCCCAATCATTCATGTCGATCGGCCTTCGGCCCAATCATTCATGTCAATCGGCCTTTGGCCCAATCATTCATGTCAATCGGCCTTCGGCCCAATCATTTATGTCGATCGTGGTCCGCCATTCAAACTAATGAACTTACATAACTTTCATATAAGTAAACAATTGGACAACAGTATATTTCAAATATCTTAATAAGATATTACTCACAGTGATCGGTTGATTGGTTCGCTCTGGAACTCGACCCTACACATGCCATGAACATAAAAGGGTCACTAACAATTCAATCCGTTCAAAATTCACATTTTCCTCTTTAGGCTTCATTCTTATCTCTTTAATTCAATTACAATGCTCAATGTATGCCTAAGAGTGTTTAGAAGTAAAAGGGAACGGAAAACAGAACACAGCATGCATTTTTAAAATTTCAGAAAATAGGGTCCCCGCTCGAGCGTGGACTTACTCGCTCGAGCGGACCCTTAAGGCCTACAAAAGTACTGGATGCCTCAAAATTACGCTCGATCGCGAACTCTGGCACTCGAGCGGAGGGGCTCTCTACATGGCTCCACGCTCGAGCGTGAACTCCCCCGCTCGAGCGGACACCATGTCTGCAAAAAGTGCTGGGAGCACGAAATTCACGCTCGAGCGGCAGTTTTCCCGCTCGAGCGGTAATCAAACTTTCTGGAAATTCCAGAACTGTTCTTAGAGTTTAAATTCAATGTTCAAAGGTCTCAATTCATGATTTTGGTCCCAAAAGCATATTAGCACATTATATTGCATGAGAGTGTAAGGTTATTACATCAATTTATTCAAAATCAACATCTAATTCTCAATCAACTCTCATTTTTTTACCATGAGCAAAAACCATATGTTTCAAACTTCACATAGGCCTCATGTCTTCAAAAATCAAACATGCATGCAGATTTTTGACTTCAATCCCATTTCAAAACATACAAGAGACACCTATTATTATGAAGTCCATGAAAATTATACATGTATGTAAAGATTAACGCCCAAACCTCCATAATCAACATTATATATGTTAGCTCATACAATTTCAAGCTTAAATATGCAATCCATGGCAATCTCCTACATGCATGTATACATTGACGCCCAATTCTTCAAGACCAACTCATTTCATATTCCTTAGCATCATTCAACCTTGAACTTACAAATTTCAAACAAAAATCCTTGAATCATTGGTTGGTTACTCACCTAGGAGCCTTAATCTTCCAACTCTAGTCAATTCTTGGACTTAATCTTCAAGATTCCCAAGTCTCGAGCCAAAACCACACAACTCTCTTCCTTCTCTCTGTAAGGCCGACCCTCCCTCTCTCTATTTAAGTTCAATATTAGCCAAAGTGTTAAAAAGGGAAGGAATTGAAGTGTAATGGCCCTTATGTATAAGCCCACTAGTCAAGTTTAATAATAATAAATAATATGGCGCTAATTCATTAACTAATCAATTTAATCTGATCTGAATCAATTTTTCAATTAAATTTCACCGTAGGTTCTAAAAATTATGCCAATCACAATGGCGCAATCAATTTCGGATTCTGTGGCCGATAAGGCCTTCAATTTAATTTCCAAAGCAGATAATCAAACATATATTCTTACGGTGAACAGATAGAAATTCAAAACCACATAATCACATTCATATTAAGGACCAATTAGGACATTACGGAATAGGGGTATTACAATAAAACTATTCAATTCCACACAAAACAAGCAAATAACAAGTATAAGAAGCTAAACTACAAAATTCTTGTACCTACATACAAACCTTAGTTTTAGGATGATCAGGTGCCACACCGAACCGGACTAATCCATACGGCGTCGGCAACCTGTCCACAATATCAACCTCAGCTCCTTGATGTCTCTTTAACATCCAGTAATGTAAATTCAACAATTCAAATCAATTTGAAATTATACACTGACATTCACTGAAATGCTTATACATGTTCTGTGTATACATACATATATATATATATATATATAGAGAGAGAGAGAGAGAGAGAGTGATATGCACCTTCTCGGCAGTGTAAAAGCCAGCAGGTCCACTTCGGACTACGCAAATGCGCAGCGGAGTTAAAGAGAGAAAAGCAAAACTTCTTGAAAACAATTTCTTAGCTCTAGAAATCACCATTTTTTTTATTATTGGAGATTATGAAATTCACAAGTTTGATTTGAGACTTTTATGAAGATTTTTTGTTACTTTTTAGGGTTCCAAATGTTGCAGAAGGAGATCTTGAAGAAATAGGCTGTGAAGCTTCTTCGAGTTCGAGTTCGAGAATGTGAACTGTGAAGGCCCAATCCATTATCTACCTAGTAGGCCCAAATAATTGATTTTGTCCTTGAACCTTTCAAAAGCCCAAGTTATTAAAACTGGGCTTGCAGTCTTCTAGGTAATTTTCTATCTTCTATCTTCTCTTTTCTTTTGTTTTTTTTAATAGGTAAATTGCATTGATCTGAGATTTAAAGAAAATATAGCAAGTTTTATAATTTTGACATAATTCTATTAAGCTCTTTTAAGATTTTAATTCATGTAAAATCTAACTTCATTTTCATTAATAATTTGTTAGTTATATGGATAAAATTAATATTGCTATCTCTTTTAGACGAAAATACGTACTTTATGTTTTTTTTTTTTTTAACACTATCTACATTAGTGTAGGTGGTCCATTTAATCTTACTGAAAGGAAAGTCAATGTAATTATGTCAAAGCTCTGCGACTTACAGTAATTTTTTCAAATCTCAAGGGAGGTTAGTGTGATTTATCCTTTTTTTGTGTGTATAAAATATTATGTTATGTTAGTGTGTTAATAGTTAGATTTACACATTGACAATGAGTTTATACTTGTCTAACTTGCTTTATTTTGCATCATTTTCATCATTTTTATTTTTGTGTCATGTATGAACAAGTTTGATATGAGATACTTGAAATTGGTATCATGTTTTAGCTTTTGATTAAGATAAAAGAATTCTGTATTTACACAATGGATATTATTACCTAACCAGCACTGATTCAGTGCTCTAAATTTGCACCACTAATGCCAGCTCTAATGAACTGGCAATGCAAGGAAAAAAACAAAACAAAGGACAAACTATCATATCAGTGGTGGGTTCACATCAACGCCACATCATTAGTGGTCTATTAGTGGTCTTCAATTAGTGGTCTGAAGCATTTTTCTTACCTAACAAGGTTTTGTCAAGTCAATAATTAATCTTAATTCTATTTTCGAGCATCGATTAGTTGTTAATAGAGAAGTATACATGCTAGAGTGCCTCAAGAACATATATTAATAAATCAAAATGGTAATTATATATAGATAGCTAGGGTGGTCTTAACCCTTGATAAGATAATTCTAAAACCATTCTTTTTAAAATTATTTTAACTTGAGTTACTTGAGATGATTTAAATAAGTGTATTTTTTAATTTTTTACTAAAAAATGTGGAGAAAAATAGAGAGATAATGTAACTTAAAAAAGATAAAAAAATAAAAAGTATGCTTATATAGCACACCCCAAACAATGTCTAAACAATGAGAAAGAAAGAAAGAAAAAGAGACCACATATGCGTGTCACACATGTTTGTGGTAAGTGAGCTGTCGTACTACTTTGGGTGATATTACTCTCTCTCTCTCTCTCCCATACCATAAAATTTACATATGCTCAGTAAAAGTCGAGCCTCTCAATATATTTTGATAACTTTTAATTACCCTTAATATTTTTTTCTCTATATTTTGGCATGTAAAAGTAATTTTCACAATAAAGTTTTACAATGCAAGTGAAGGGTGTGAAGAGAAATTAAAGTGAGTGTATTTAGAAATTCACACATACTTCTACTAATTGAAGGGCACACACAAAAAGTATGGAGTAAATTCTTATTTTTGAAGTTTTAACAATATACATTCATCATTTGGGTATAAACTTGAATACTTGGCTTTGGATTCATTGAATATATTTAAAATGATGAAGTTTTAAGCCACAGTAATCTTCAAGTGCCACCACAAAAGGAGAAACAAAGTTTTAAAATTATGACTGAATGATACTAATGAGATTGCTAACCTAGTTTTCTAGAAGGATGTCAAATTGGAAGCTGGCATAGTTTGTGTGTTTATTCTCTTTCTGTTACAAGTGGAATTCAATTGAGTTGATATGGACTCTAGTTTTGGATGATGGAGTACAAAAATTTCAAGCGGTTCATGCTGATTGTGAGTTTGATTGCTTATAATTTTAGCTTCAATGTTTACTTTTTTTGTTATGTTTGCAATGGTTCCTTCTTTTTTTTCTGGGGGGATTGGTTACGCCATTTGAAAATAAAAACACGTTCGTATGCTTTTTATTTTTTTTTTAAATAAATTTTTTATTTTGCCCCACCCAAAAAAATAAACCTTGGCACAAAGTAGAGCTATGGTACATAGTAAGATTCATTGAATATGTTTAAAATGATGAAGTTTTAAGCCACAGTAATCTTCAAGTGCCACCACAAAAGGAGAAACAAAGTTTTAAAATTATGTTTGCAATGGTTCCTTCTTTTTTTTCTGGGGGGATTGGTTACGCCATTTGAAAATAAAAACACGTTCGTATGCTTTTTATTTTTTTTTTAAATAAATTTTTTATTTTGCCCCACCCAAAAAAATAAACCTTGGCACAAAGTAGAGCTATGGTACATAGTAAGTAGTAACTAACAAAGATGGTTTAAAATGAATATAGTAAAAGTTAGGTGAAAATTTAAAATTCTAGAGGTTGTTTATATTACACCTAATTAAGCAAAGCAATCTAATTAAGTTCATGGTTACACTAAAGACCACAATAAATGGGTAAGAAGTGACAAGAATGATAAAGGTACCATCATTAGTAGAAAACAACTTGCTTAGGATTCAAATTTAATGATAAAGGTGACAATTGGGTTACGGGTTTTGAAATATCTCAAATTAAAATTCACATTACAATAATATTCATTGTTAGCACCAACCCACGTGCATGTAGAGGAGAGAGTCAAAGAAGAATGGCGTACGAGGACCTCCATCATAAGTAAAGGAAGTCTGAGCTGGGTATCTCTCCCTTCTCTTCACATTCTTGCCATTGTTAACTCTCACCAACAAAAAAAAAGGTGAAAATTTTGGGTGGGTATGTATCTCTCTCTCTCTCTTTGTGTATAAATAGAGACGGGAATGAGAGAGTAAATGGTATCATCAGAAATTTGAGAGATAGAGAGTTATGAGTTGAGTGAGAGTGTTTCTCCTCCTCTGTTTTTGTATTGCTTTATTTTAGTGAAATTCTCGTTTCTATTCCGTGGACGTAGGCATTGGGCCGAACCACGCAAATATTTGTGTCTCGGTTGTGTGTGTGATTGTTTGTTGTTTATTTTCTAGGTGTCCATAATCCTAACAAGTGGTATCAGAGCTATGTGTAAACACCCCATTTTTCACCGTCCCCAAGACTTGGACGTCACCGTTCGAATGCACAGTGATCATCCATGTTCATGTTCGTTTTGAGTTCCCGGAGGCCTCTACCATGCACCTTGCCTCAGGATCTCTTAACTTGCCTGTTCTGTGCTTGGTTTTGCACCAAGGACTTCTGTTTTGTGCTTCTGAGGATGGGAAGAGGCTTGTTAGCCATCCCTGAAACCCACCGGCCTTTCCTTTTTCCTACCAACCAAATGTTTGGTCGGTCGGCACTTATCTGAGGTGTATCGGCATTTTGTGTGGTCGGCCGACCATGTATTTGGCCGATGGACTCCTTTTCTGGCCGGTCCCCCATTTTTGCCTTTTTCAGGCATTGTGCATGCCAGCTGTACTAGCTGGAGTGCACAGACTTGTCTTCCATACACGTGTATAGAGGAATTGCACCCTTTGCACCCTTTTGGTCTAGCTTCTTGGGAAAGCTTGTACCTTTGTCTTAGCTTCCTCAAGAAGCTTAGACACCTGTCTCAGCTTCCTAAGGAAGCCTTGGCCCCTTTGCCTTAGCTTCTTTTAGAAGCCTTGAACCCTTTTGTTAGCTTCTCTTGGAAGCTTAAGCCTCCATCTTGCTCTATAAAAGGAGACCTTCCCTCTCCTTTGAGGGGTTTCAACAAAACCAAACCTAATACATATATATATCTGATATATACACCTTCTCTCTCTATATCTCTCTCTCTCTTCATTTGTGTGTGTTAGAGAGCTAAAAAGTGTGTTTTGTTCTTAGTTTTGCACTAAAACACCTACTATTACACCATACTTCGACTTGGGAGGTGTTGAGAGGTTGTTCTTGGAGTTTTGCATTGGTTTTGGTCGTGAGGAAGAGGCTGAGGTTGCTGTTCTTCAATTGTTCTTCAAGGGTAACACTATTTGCTTTATATTTCCCAATCTTGCACTAGTTTTTAACCCACTTTGCATGCTGTTTTAGACTGTGTATAACTTGAAAAAGTCTTGTATTTGCATGCTTAAGATATTTCATTAGGGTCATTTTGTTGTTTGGGGTCGACCTCCCCCTCTTAGGCCTTGTTTGGCCCTTTTTCGGTAGCTTCTTTGTTGAGCTTTGAATACCTTCGTGTGTTGGTCTTTTCACCACTAAAATCCAGAGGATTTTCAGTGGTCAAGAAGAGGTTTTGAGGTCTTGCATAAGGGAAGGGACACCCCTCTCTCTTTGTGGTCTCTTTTGTCATTTTTTGGCTCATAATGGAAGCATGCATGAGTAGTTGTCTTTGGCTCCATTTCAAGGTTTTTGGGTGTTTTAGGTCATAATATGTCCTGTTTTTGGTTGGATTAATGGTCCATCTTCATCTTAAACACTTGCCTTGTATTCCCTCATTTTGCCTAGAAATGCATCTTCCATTAGACCATCATGCTTGCATGCTTTTGCCTAGCTTTGTGAAGCTTTTGGTCATGTTTATCATGCTTGAGGTCTGTTGGGTGTTGATTTGGTCATGCCTTTCATGCTTTGTATAGTCTCTTTGCATTCTAGCATGTTGGCATCGGGTGTGTGAGTCATTAGCATGCATTATCTTGGCTATTTCACCCGGATTGAATCAGATTATATATCTTCAGTTCCATGTTTTAGTGTTAGCTGTTTGCAACCCGATGTAACTGCTAGGAAATGCATAAAACGGTGATCGTCCATCCATCACAGATCAACGAAG